CTATTTGGTAAAGTAAAAAGGCTTAGATTTGAATTACCTGAATTGCTAAGTAAGAACTCAATAGGTCTCGAGCCTTGTGCATTTGTGGGCCCCGCTCACGAGTGCACGGCGTCTGTTTCGCTCTCGGTTTGGGGCGTGACATAAAGCCAGAACACTAGATGCTAAGAATAGGCTGCAAGAAGGGTTTCTTTTCTCTTTGAAGTGTATCTACAGAGATTAGTTGATTATTTGGTCTATCCGGAGGGGATTAGGATTGGCTTTGTCTTCGGTGCAGCCATAGGGATGGGGATTGCCTGAGTTGAGTCTGGAGTGAGGACATGAACTTTTGTTTTTTGGTTTTAATTTGTCAATGAGCTAGTTCTCTTTTCCAGAACAATATTCTATAGCTTTCCTTATGCAAGCTTTTATCTTTTGTTTGTTTTTCATGGATTTTCGTTTGTGCGCGTTTGTTGCTTTGTGTTTTCTATTTTTCCACTCCATTTTCAAAGAAATTGAGACTTTTTTTATTTTTTGGAATATGCTATTTGGGAATCTTTTATTTCTATATATGCTTATCAACTTCCAATGGATTTGGTGTTGGAGTTTATGTTTGATTTTGAGGGCTAGCTATCAACTATGTTTCCTTCTTTTTTATTTTTTATTTTTGGTTTGCACTTTCCCATTCTGTAATAAGAAATGCATTTCTTTTCTGCATCTTAGATCATTTTATAATCTTGTACTTTGAGCTAGTCATTGGCTACATCTATCACTCTTATCATAATTTATTGCTTATTTCTTTCTGCTTTTGTATTGGATTTAATATTGATGAATCTCACCATTATTTTACTCTCTAATGCCATTCACATTTTTATTCTTGGGTAAATTTGATTGGATTATGGATAGACCTAGTATGTTTGCTACCTTTCACAGCCATTTGCAAAATTTAATTATTTATTTAGATAAAAGAAAAGAAAAGAAAAGATAATAGAAAAATATAATTCTCCTTCACTTCCTTTCTCTTTATTTCTCAACTAAATATAAATAAATTTGAGCTCATTTTAATAATTTATAAAACAATCAAATTTGAAGAGTTTTAAAATGCACTCAAACACTTCAATTTGCTTATATGTTAGCTAAATTTGAAGAGTTTTCCCTTAAGTACTCATGCATAGCTTAAGAAAGAGAAAGAGGAAATTGAGAAAGTGATTAAAACAAACCATAGATGCTTCAACTGATGTTCAGTTGAAGCATATGACTTTGTACATATGACTTTGTCCATTTTTTTTTTTTTTTTACTTTCTTATCTTTAGTCACAATTGAAATTGATTTAAAAATTACATTTAGATATTTTGATTTGATGATTATATTTTTCATCATAAAGTATACTCCTAGATTTAAGGTTCGAATCTTCATTCTCTTATTGTAATCCATTAAAAAAAAAAACCTAAAAATTGAGAATTGGATTGAAATTGTAAAATAAATTTAGCTATTAAATTAGATGTTATTCCACAAATTTAAGTGTTCAGAAAAAAAAAATTCCATATAAATAAACAAACAACACTAGCAGTATAAAATGATACTGATATAGAAGGTAAAGATATAAATAATTTTTTATAAAATTTTTATGTATTATTAAATTAATAATTACACTCAATATAACAAATTTTAAATAGATAAATAAATAAATTATTTAAATAAAATATAATTATACAAAAATATTATTTCTTATATTTTTCACAAAAGAAACACATAACCTCTAAATTGTTAAACAATGCGAATAGCAGGAAAGCACACACAGATTACTGACGTGGCAGAAAAAAATTTTGAAATCCCACTCGAGCCGCAAACTTTATTTTCTCCATTTATTTTTCCCCTTTGCTTATTTCACGATCCACACCACACCAGATCAAATTATCAATTTCCTCTCTTTCTCGCTCGCATCTCCTTCTCTTCCAAAAACCCTAACTCTCAGGTAACTCGTTGTAGCGACTTAGTCATGTTTGCACCGTTCTGATTGATCTTTAAACGATTTCATTGATTTTGATTGTTTTTCATGCAGGATTCGCCATGAAAGGTGACAGCAAGTGAGTTTTATTCCTTGCTTTACTTTGTTGTAACTTTTAAGTCAATATTTTTTTTGATATCATAGCGATTGCAATCTAAGACCGTCGTAGATTTCAGTATTAGCCTCTTCTGTTTACCAATGGCTTTTTTTTTTTTTTTTGGAATTTTTTTTTTTGTTAGGTTGAAGAGCAACAATGCAATGGCTAGAAAAAAAACTAAGAAGGTTGCAAAGGATCCAAACAAGCTAAAGAGGCCTACTAGTGCTTTCTTCATCTTCATGTATGAGTGGTTCATGTTCTAATGGAGATTACATAATGGAATTACATATGGGTAGAAAACTCACCGGAAATGTTCATGGATTCAGAATTCCGTGGAGGAATTTCTGCAACAATGCAGCTACCAAAGCGTTCCACTGTAATATTCTTTCACCTTTTATGCACTTCTTATTCTTAATTCATTACTCTCAATTTCTTTTAAATTTACTTAAATTTGTTTTCAAGGACTCATAATCTTCTGAAGTGGAGTTGTTGATTTGGTTGATTTGGTTGATTTGTTCTAACATTGCAAGAGACTACACTGTTTTACATGATTTGGTCAATCAACAATTTGTTTTTTGGGGACTCTGTTTTACATGATGAAAATAGAGTAAAACAAAGAGGACTTAAGGAAACAGTATATGAAGACCATCCTAACAAACCAATCTATGGTTAAGTTAATTTTGATTAGGAGCATTAGTGAGTGATTAGCTTATGAGTAATTTACAAGTTATAAAAGTCAAACTTGACTTAAGTTTGACTCACTTTGTAAATTAGTCAAACTTGAACTAAAGAGTGTAAAAAAAAAAATTGGATAATAATACAATTTTCTCTTCATTATAAAAAAAAAATTGACAAATGGTGTTTGCCAATAAAGAAAAAAAATAAGTACAGAAAAAATTATAAATAAAATAAAATAAAATAAAATTGAATTATCAATTAAAAAAGAAAAAAGAAGATCTATACTAATGGAAAAAGCTGTTGGTATAGATTTTTCACTTATAGGTGTATCCAGACAGAAGTTTGAGTTTTTATCAATGAAATTACCTGTTTGTAAATATAAGGGTCTATACAGATGGAAAAATTCTTAAGATTTCTCAGGGTCTATATCAATGGACAAGTCTTCCATCGGAATAGATCCAAGGGTCTATACAGACAGATTAGGCATTGGTATATACCCTATATTGACGAGGTTTTTACCGACTGAAAGTTGGTCCATTGGAATAGTCCCTGGGGGTCTATACCAACGAAACATGGGTCTATATAGATGGAAAACTTCCATCAGTATAGATACATCTCCTTGTAGTGTTAAGGGGTTGATAACCTTAAAATTTATAAGTTAAAGGGCTAAATAAGGGGTTAAGCCCCAATTAAATATATCACTCCTAGAATTAAGCCTTTTTCCCCCAATTTGTGTTGGAAATAATATACTAATTTCCAGCATCCAAGGTTAGAAAAGAAAACTCAATATAAAATGGTCATAAATTACAAATAATTTTGAAGTATGAACTAATTTTCCAACACTTTAGTGTCATAATACTTTAGTGTCATAATTTAGTTTTGCGACTTAATATTTTTATGCTGTTGCTAACTAAGAAAAATTAAAAAAAATACTTTTCTATTCTTTTTTCTAGCTCAAAAGAGTAGCAAATGTCAAGAACTATCAAAGTTAAATGGTAAAAATGCTACAGGCTTATTTTTTTAGTGTTGGTCAGTGGAAAATAATCCTAGCCAAATGATAAAAGTTTGGGTGCCAGCAAATAAGCTTGTACAATTGATAAAGGTTATAATAATGCTAACCAAGTTGCTACATAGGTTAATTCCCGCTAAAGATGCATTTGGAATTGTTGTGAAGTGCTGTAGTTATAATTGTGACTGTGCTTGTACTAAACTGTACTATGCTATAACTGTAGTTAAAAGTTATTTTGGTATTTGGTTATTTATTTATTAAAAGTATTATAGACAAAATATGGTAAATTTTATTAATCATTAATTAAAATTTTAAAAATAATGTATGATGTATAATTAGTAAAATAGATAATATTAGGTTTCTTATGAGGGCATTTTTTTTGGGTGTTGCAAGAGAGCAATTCATAAGAAAGAAATGAGTTTTTAATTTTTTAGGAATCCTTCAAATAAACGAAAGGTTAATTTTAAATAAAATATTATAAATTATAATGCAATTGAATTAAATGAGATTGAGTTTTAATAGATAATTTTATAATTGTATTAAATATTAGGTGTTATCTGTAAAAACTATAGCCACAAAACTTTGATAAATTGAATTTATATACATATTAATGTAGAATTTTTGCTTTAATATTATTAATATTTGGATGAGTTTTATGAGATTTTATTTGATTTTATATAATTTTCACTATTTATGTAAGAAATGACTAAATCGGAAAAAATCATAATTTTTAGGAGCAAATTGTAGAGATCAAAAAAATGAGGATTAACTTGTGTGGAATCCAGAAGTTAAAGACTAGGACTGTCAATTTACCATTAACTAAAATTTCTTTGAAGGCCAAAATTCCGACACTCTTCTTGGCGGATACAGTGAAGGTGTCAGCACCTTCTCTAAGATGTTCAATAGGCTTTAATATTTTATGCAAATCCCACTTCTATTTCACCTAGGTTTTCTAAAATCTTATAAACATTCATCTAAGTTTAGAATTAAAGGGAGAGTTTTAGAAGCTGATAGCAGCTTTTTTTTAAGCACTTTTGAAGATTAAGATAGATGATTCACCAACAATAAAATATCAAGAATTTCAATTTCCTTAAATTGGGATTTTTTCCTTATATTATTTTTATTTATTTTTTGATATTTTAATATTCATAACTATAATTTCAATTTTTATTGCTTTTGTTAGGAACTAATTTATTCTACTTAAGCTATTATGTAGCCTAATCAATTTAATATAAATTTTGTGATTTTTATATTTTCAATTAAATTTATTCACATGATGAGTTTATGTTATTGAATTTAATGCATTGAAAATCTAATCATCTTTCAATTGATCTAGTGATTTATGCATGAATTTGAGAAAGAATTGTGTAAAGTAGATCAATAATAATATAAATCATGTGTTAGACTATGAAATCTAGAAGTAATTAGTGTCACATGTGATAATATAGGAAGAGAAGAGAGTTAGGAGCTCCCCTTTTTAAGCTACAAGTTTCCACATTGCTTAACGTTGATTAGTTTGTTTTAAATTACATAGAGAAATGATTAATTTAATAAACATGTGAAGAATTAACTTGAATTGATAAAGTTAGTTAATTTATTTAGGGAAATCTGCCATCACATGCGATAGCACTCAACAAATTAGTTTTGGAAACATATTAATCCAAAATTTATATTAATTAATTATGGTGAAGTTGATGCCTTAGTACCTCATATATTGGTTAGGCTTATTTTAATTGTTATTTTCTTTTTATTATTTTTAACCAAAGTTTTCCCCTTTTTGATTGTTCAAACAAATTTAGATTAATTATTTTTGGTACTTAATTAATCACAAGCCTCATGTGTTCAACACTCTTCTCATCATTATATTACTTAGAGCGACAATACACTTGTTAGAGTGATTTTAGCACATCAAGTTTTTGGCGCTATAGCTGGAGATTGTTGAATTTAATTAATATCGTAGCTGATTAATTTTAAATTCAATTTGAAAGCTTTCTTTTCTTTTATTTCTTTACTTTTATTCTTTTTTGTTTCCTTTGTTTTTGTTTTTGCAAGTCCAATTATGAATCTAGTTGTCATAGACACTAATACGAGTTATCAATGTCTTGCTACAAAGTTAAGGGTACAAGTTAAAGCAATAACTATCAATTGGGAAGCAGAATTTGACAATGATGAACTTGAATGATTTCAAACAATCTTTAAAAAGTTTGATTGAATTAAAGAAGGTTATGATAAAACAATTTAATATTACTTGTTGATGGTGCGAATTAGAACATTTTAGTTCTAATTGCTATTTTAACCCATCTAACAAACATGGTAAT